AGGGGATCTCAACCCTTGACTTGGTGTTGTCAGCACCACGCTCACCCAAGTAAGCTAACCGGCCATCCCTATGTGGGATCCAAACCCGGGGCCTTGGTGTTATCAGCACCGCACTCTCCCGAGTGAGCCACGGGCCGGCCCCCCTATTATGGAAAGTTTTGAAAGCCAACCTATGGAATTTGGAATTATTTTGTGGGATATATAGATTTCTTAGAGGGAATGACATCATTACAGCTTTGAGATAATTGTGACAAAGGTATTAATAAGAAAAATTTCCCTTTATCCATTGAAAGGGCTGTGAGAGTAGTATCAGGGGAATACTGGGTTTAGTTAGGCAAAAAGGTGGAAGGAGCCTTGGAGGAAAGTGGTGGTTATGGAGGAGTTTGTTTTTAAAAGAATGAGAATTCATCTCCACGTTATTAAACAGAAAGAAACAAAGACATGTTAGAATAGAAAAATGGGCAAAGGACATGGTCATTCATTTCATAAAAGAAGATACAACGGGCCGGCCCGTGGCTCACTCGGGAGAGTGCGGTGCTGACAACACCAAGGCCCCGGGTTCGGATCCCATATAGGGATGGCCGGTTAGCTCACTGGGTGAGCGTGGTGCTGACAACACCAAGTCAAGGGTTGAGATCCCCTTACCGGTCATCTTTTTAAAAAATTAAAAAATAAAAAAATAAAAGAAGATACATGGTATTGATCACCTGTCAAAAAAAAAAAAAAAACATGAATGGTCAATAAATAAGGAAAGATGATTGAATTACTGGTAATCAAGGAGATGCCATTCATTCCCATCAGTTTGGCAACAGTTGATATGCCTGAAAAGTATTGGCATAGAATAAATCGCTCTTATTTTAGAGAACATTTTGGCAATATCTAGTAAAGTTGAAGATGTGCACAACCTGTGACCCAATAAGTCCACCTCTAGATTTAAATCCTAGCACCTCTTTTAGGTTATATAAAATATTCGGTTCCTCATAACATTTGACTCCTGTAGATTTAGCATCAATTGCTGATTGATGTTAAAATACATAAAAATGTTAAATACTGCATTCATTAAAATGCTAAAAACACCATTGTTTCTAATAGTAAAATTTAAAAATAGTATATACATAGCTATCAATAGGGAAATAGTTGAATAAATTGTGATATGTTTTTTTTTTTTAAAGATGACCGGTAAGGGGATCTTAACCCTTGGCTTGGTGTTGTCAGCACCATGCTCAGCCAGTGAGCTAACCGGCCATCCCTATATAGGATCTAAACCAGTGGCCTTGGTGTTATCAGCACCGCACTCTCCCAAGTGAGCCATAGGCTGCCCTTTGTGATGTGTTCTTATGGTCAAATTCTGTACAGCAGGGAAAGTGATTTTTGAGACTCCTGATGCCTACTCCTAAGTGTTTTGCAGAACACATGAACCAGTTCACATCTCTATCCCTAATGCAGGAAAGTGCCTGTCTTATTGCACCCATGTAGTCCCTCATAAATATTCCTCTAATTATAGACCAAAAAGGCACCTCATTATCTTAGTTTGCATTTTTAGCTGTTTAACATTTTTTATATATATTCAAACTGTCTATAGGAAATAAAATTATCTCATTTCAATTTTTATTTTTTCTGGCCACTGGCTAGAATCTGAACCCTTGTCTTGGTGTTATAACACCACTCTGTAACCAACTGAACCAACTAGCTAGCCCTCTGATTTGAATTTGATAAGGCCAGATAGTGAGTACTTTAGGCTTTCTGGCCATACAATCTCTGTTTCAATTACTCTGATTAGTATGAAAGCAATGACAGTGCATAAATGAATGAATAACACTTCATTCCAAGAAAACTTTCTTTATGGAGAATGAAATTCAAATTTTATATAATTTTAATGTCAGGAAATATTATTTTGATTTCAGATTTTTTGCCACTCGTACTTGAATTCAGAAAAGCTACTTTTCACATTTCCATTCTAATTAAAATGATCATTTCATTTGTAAGAAAATAATTTAATGAAATGTCAGGTTTTTTGGTTTTTACTTTTTCTCTTCTTTATGGTAGAGCTGATGGGACTGAACATAATATTAGGAATTGAAAATTCATATTATAATCTTTATTCTTCCAAATATTTTCAAAGTAGTCCTTATTGCTTGTTAGCTATTCCTTTAAACTTAAAATATGAATAATACAAAGTTCCCTATGAAGCTATTAAAGTTTTTTCAAAGAAATTTTTCAAAGAAAATAATTGATCACATTACTTGTCCAGATAAAGTCCACATATTTTTCCTAACCTAATAATACTGTAACTTGGTTGTCAGCTAAAATATAGGAAATGAGGTGTGTTAACCCAAAATATAGCCCAGGACCCAGTTTGGTGTTTTATATTTAATCATTGTTGTGCTAACTCCAGGTGTGATTATTAACAACGTAAGTTAGCCTAGGCTTCAAATTAAATGGGTGGTACAGTCAATAAGTGCTGGAGAAGTCAGGTAAATGGATTTTAATCTGAGTTTTCAAGGAAGAGTAGGAGCTGGATTGAAACAAAAAGGGAGACAGAATTTGTGTGGTTGGGAAGAGGAACCAGTTAAGCAATGGAAATATTATTGGTGTCACCTTGAGAAAACCTTTTTTGAAGGGTTTTGCAATGTCCAATCTATATCGTGGGCTAACACAAAGTAGGACAAATGAAAAAT